TTTTAGTAGAGACGGGGTTTCGCCATGTTGACCAGGATGGTCTCGATCTCTTGACCTCGTGATCCACCTGCCTCGGCCTCCCAAAGTGCTGGGATTACAGGCACATGCAACAATGCCCAGCTAATTTTTTGTATTTTTAGTAGAGACGGGTTTCACCATGTTGACCAGGATGGTCTCGATCTCTTGACCTCGTGATCCACCCGCCTCGGCCTCCCAAAGTGCTGGGATTACAGGCACATGCAACCATGCCCAGCTAATTTTTTGTATTTTTAGTAGAGACGGGTTTCACCATGTTGACCAGGATGGTCTCGATCTCTTGACCTCGTGATCCACCCGCCTCGGCCTCCCAAAGTGCTGGGATTACAGGCACATGCAACAATGCCCAGCTAATTTTTTGTATTTTTAGTAGAGACGGGTTTCACCATGTTGACCAGGATGGTCTCGATCTCTTGACCTCGTGATCCACCCGCCTCGGCCTCCCAAAGTGCTGGGATTACAGGCACATGCAACAATGCCCAGCTAATTTTTTGTATTTTTAGTAGAGACGGGTTTCACCATGTTGACCAGGATGGTCTCGATCTCTTGACCTCGTGATCCACCCGCCTCGGCCTCCCAAAGTGCTGGGATTACAGGCACATGCAACAATGCCCAGCTAATTTTTTGTATTTTTAGTAGAGACGGGTTTCACCATGTTGACCGGGATGGTCTCGATCTCTTGACCTCGTGATCCGCCCGCCTCGGCCTCCCCCAGTGCTGGGATCACAGCTTTTTCACAGATCTACACAGGCCTCCCATGGACGGCCGGCATCCTCCCGGAGGGTGGCCGGCCTTTGTACCGTTGCTCTCTCCCGACAGCGGGGTCTGGTGGAATGAAGGCCGAGCGCGCGATGGCCGCTGACGGTTCCATCCGCCGTGGGGAACTTCGCTCACCTCCCGGCCTGTGAAGGCCTCTGTCCGCTGTCAGGACCAGGCAGGTCTCGCCCAGTGGGGACGAGCGGTCCCTGGGGACCCGGGTCTGCACGGCTCCGTGGCCCAGAGAGGCGGCCGAGCCCGCCTGCGTCCTCAGGCCGCCTTCCCGGGACCGCCGCGTCCTAACGGCTCCGCCGCGCAGCCCTCGAGCGGCCGCCATCTTTCCTGGCCCGGCCGCCATCTTTCCTGGCCCGGCCGCCATCTTTCCTGGCCCGGCCGCCATCTTTCCTGGCCCGCCACTTCCGCCACGCAAAGGCGTCGCATCCGGGCAGCCCCGCTGGGTCGGCGAGGCCCGGCACGCGTGGGCCGGCGGGGTCCGGGGGTCGGGGCTGGGGTCCGGGCTGGGGTCGGGGCTGGGGGTCCGGGCTGGGGTCCGCGGCTGGGGGTCCGGGCTGGGGTCCGCGGCTGGGGTCGGGGCTGGGGGTCGGGGCTGGGGGTCGGGGCTGGGTTCCTGGCTGGGGTCCGGGCTGGGGTCCGGGCTGGGGTCGGGGCTGGGGGTCGGGGCTGGGGTCGGGGCTGGGGTCCGGGCTGGGGTCGGGGCTGGGGGTCCGGGCTGGGGTCCGCGGCTGGGGGTCCGGGCTGGGGTCCGCGGCTGGGGTCGGGGCTGGGGGGCGGGGCTGGGGGTCGGGGCTGGGGGTCGGGGCTGGGGTCCGGGCTGGGTTCCTGGCTGGGGTCCGGGCTGGGGTCGGGGCTGGGGGTCCGGGCTGGGGTCGGGGCTGGGGTCGGGGCTGGGGTCCGGGCTGGGGGTCGGGGCTGGGGGTCGGGGCTGGGGTCCGGGCTGGGTTCCTGGCTGGGGTCCGGGCTGGGGTCCGGGCTGGGGGTCGGGGCTGGGTTCCTGGCTGGGGTCCGGGCTGGGGTCCGGGCTGGGGTCCGGGCTGGGGTCCGGGCTGGGGGTCCGGGCTGGGGTCGGGGCTGGGGTCGGGGCTGGGGGTCCGGGCTGGGGGTCGGGGCTGGGGGTCGGGGCTGGGGTCCGGGCTGGGTTCCTGGCTGGGGTCCGGGCTGGGGTCCGGGCTGGGGTCCGGGCTGGGGGTCCGGGCTGGGTCGGGGCTGGGGGTCCGGGCTGGGGGTCGGGGCTGGGGGTCGGGGCTGGGGGTCGGGGCTGGGGTCCGGGCTGGGTTCCTGGCTGGGGTCCGGGCTGGGGTCCGGGCTGGGGTCCGGGCTGGGGTCCGGGCTGGGTTCCTGGCTGGGTTCCTGGCTGGGTTCCTGGCTGGGGTCCGGGCTGGGGTCCGGGCTGGGGTCCGGGCTGGGGTCCGGGCTGGGGTCGGGGCTGGGTTCCTGGCTGGGTTCCTGGCTGGGGTCCGGGCTGGGGTCCGGGCTGGGGTCGGGGCTGGGGTCCGGGCTGGGTTCCTGGCTGGGGTCCGGGCTGGGGTCCGGGCTGGGTTCCTGGCTGGGGTCCGGGCTGGGGTCGGGGCTGGGGTCCGGGCTGGGGTCCGGGCTGGGGTCCGGGCTGGGGTCGGGGCTGGGGTCCGGGCTGGGGTCGGGGCTGGGGTCCGGGCTGGGTTCCTGGCTGGGGTCCGGGCTGGGGTCGGGGCTGGGGTCCGGGCTGGGGTCCGGGCTGGGGTCCGGGCTGGGTTCCTGGCTGGGGTCCGGGCTGGGGTCGGGGCTGGGGTCGGGGCTGGGGGTCGGGGCTGGGGGTCGGGGCTGGGGTCCGGGCTGGGGTCGGGGCTGGGGTCGGGGCTGGGGGTCGGGGCTGGGGTCCGGGCTGGGTTCCTGGCTGGGGTCCGGGCTGGGGTCCGGGCTGGGGTCGGGGCTGGGGGTCGGGGCTGGGGGTCGGGGCTGGGGTTTGGGCTGGGTTCCTGGCTGGGTTCCTGGCTGGGGTCCGGGCTGGGGTCGGGGCTGGGGTCCGGGCTGGGGTCGGGGCTGGGGTCCGGGCTGGGTTCCTGGCTGGGGTCCGGGCTGGGGTCGGGGCTGGGGTCCGGGCTGGGGTCCGGGCTGGGGTCCGGGCTGGGTTCCTGGCTGGGTTCCTGGCTGGGTTCCTGGCTGGGGTCCGGGCTGGGGTCGGGGCTGGGGTCGGGGCTGGGGGTCCGGGCTGGGGTCGGGGCTGGGGTCCGGGCTGGGGTCCGGGCTGGGGTCGGGGCTGGGGTCGGGGCTGGGGGTCCGGGCTGGGGTCCGGGCTGGGGTCCGGGCTGGGTTCCTGGCTGGGGTCCGGGCTGGGGTCGGGGCTGGGGTCGGGGCTGGGGGTCCGGGCTGGGGTCGGGGCTGGGGGTCCGGGCTGGGGTCCGGGCTGGGTTCCTGGCTGGGGTCCGGGGCTGGGGTCCGGGCTGAGGTCGGGAAGGCGCCGTCGCCGCCATCGGCCACCGAAGCGGGGGTGGGGTAGAGACGCCCGCCACGGCTCGAAGGCCCGGGCCTGGCCCGCGGGCAGCACAGCGGAGGCCTCCGGTGTCTGAAGGGCAGAGGGCACGGCCTGTCCCGGGCCCCCACTTCACCCACCGCACTCTGCGTCTCCCCGCGCGCTCTGCGGGACCGGAACTCAAAGGGTGGCTCAGGCCTGTAATCCCAGCACTTTGGGAGACCGAGGCGGGCGGATCACGAGGTCAAGAGATCGAGACCATCCTGGTCAACATGGTGAAACCCCGTCTCTACTAAAAACATTTTAAAAATTAGCTGAACATGGTGGCTCAAGCCTGTGTAATCCCAGCACTTTGGGAGACCGAGGCGGGCGGATCACGAGGTCAAGAGATCGAGACCATCCTGGTCAACATGGTGAAACCCCGTCTCTACTAAAAACATTTTAAAAATTAGCTGAACATGGTGGCTCAAGCCTGTGTAATCCCAGCACTTTGGGAGACCGAGGCGGGCGGATCACGAGGTCAAGAGATCGAGACCATCCTGGTCAACATGGTGAAACCCCGTCTCTACTAAAAACATTTTAAAAATTAGCTGAACATGGTGGCTCAAGCCTGTGTAATCCCAGCACTTTGGGAGGCCGAGGCGGGCGGATCACGAGGTCAAGAGATCGAGACCATCCTGGTCAGCATGGTGAAACCCCTTCTCTACTAAAAACATTTAAAAAATTAGCTGAACATGGTGGCTCAAGCCTGTGTAATCCCAGCACTTTGGGAGGCCGAGGCGGGTGGATCACGAGGTCAAGAGATCGAGACCATCCCGGTCAGCATGGTGGAACCCCGTCTCTAATAAAAACGTTAAAAAAATTAGCTGGACATGGTGGCTCAAGCCTGTGTAATCCCAGCACTTTGGGAGGCCGAGGCTGGCGGATCACGAGGTCAACAGATCGAGACCATCCCGGTCAACACGGTGAAACCCCGTCTCTAATAAAAACGTTAAAAAAATTAGCTGGACATGGTGGCTCAAGCCTGTGTAATCCCAGCACTTTGGGAGGCTGAGGTGGGCGGATCACGAGGTCAAGAGATCGAGACCATCCTGGTCAACACGGTGAAACCCCGTCTCTACTAAATTACAAAAATTAGCTGGGCATGGTGGTGCGTGCCTGTAATCCCAGCTACTCAGGAGGCTGAGGCAGGAGAATTGCCTGAACCCAGGAGGCGGAGGTTGCGGTGAGCCGAGATCGCGCCATTGCACTCCAGCCTGGTGACAGAGCACGACTGTGTCTCCAAATAAATACATGAAAATGAAAAGGCCAGGCGCGGTGGCTCACGCCTGTAATCCCAGCACTTTCGGAGACCGAGGCGGGCGGATCATCTGAGGTCAGGAATTCAAGACCAGCCTGGCCAACAAGGCAAAACCCTGTATCTACTAAAAATAAAAAAATTAGCTGGGTGTGGTGGCAGGCGCCTGTAATCCCGGCTACTCGGGAGGCTGACGTAGGAGAATCGCTTGAACGTGGGCATCGCACTCCAACCTGGGCAACGGAGCAAGATCCCACTACAAAAAAATAATAGAATATTTTTTTTAAACCCACACATCTGATGTAAGATGAAAGCAAGGTTTTTTAGATGAACTCATGGAGGTTAGATGAGAGGTAGATCCCTCGAGGGGAAGATCTCTCTTTTTTTTTTTTATTTTGAGATGGAGTCTCGCTCTATCACCCAGGCTGAAGTGCAATGCCCAGGCACAAGCAATTCTCCTGCCTCAGCCTCCCGAGTAGCTGGGATTACAGGAGCCCACTACCATGGCCGGCTAAATTTTAAAAATATTTTTAGTAGAGACAGGGTTTCACTATGTTGGTCAGGCTGGTTTTGAACTCCTGACCTGATGATTCACCCATCTGGGCCTCCCAAAATGCTGGGATTACAGACGTAAGCCACCGCACCCAGCCTTTTATTTATTTTGAGACAGTCTGTTGCCCAGCATGAGTGCAGTGGAATAATCGTAGCTCACTGAGGCCTCAACCTCCCAGGTACAACCATATCTGGCTAATTTTTAAATTTTTTGTAGAGCCAAGGTCTTACTTTGTTGCCCAGGCTGCTGTCAAACTCATGGACGTCAACAATCCTCCTGCCTCAGTCTCCCAAAGCACTGGGACTACAGGCATGAGCCACTGCGCCCAGCCTTCCTGACCTGTATGGGTCTACGTTATGTAGGGTGATCATGCACAGTCCCTACATGTCCCTGTGCAGCCAGGGCAGTCAGCTGCTGCAGTTGTGCGCTGGGAAATCCTCCAGGGCCCTGCTCTCAGCAGACACGGAAATGAAAATCACTTCCAGAGGAGCAGGTTGTCTGGGCCTGGAAGCCAAGGGAGCTCCAGAGGGAAAACTGATCACTACGGGCTGTGGGCCTGGTCTCAGGCCACCCGAGCTTCCCTCACCCTCCACCAGAGGTCCCCAGTGAGACTCAGCCCCGCTCCCTGTCCCCGCAGAGCCTTGGCCTGCCTCCCGGGTTTGCAGTTGTGATTTATTTTTGGTACGTCAGCCACTGGTCATCAAATAGCAAAACCCAAAACAAGAGCAGCACGGTATCTTCCAAGTGTCTGCTCAGGACACGGCTTCAGCCCTCGGTGGTCCCCTCTCCCCAGGGACCCTGAGGCTTTTGGGATTCTTGTCAAGCTCCTTCCAGAGCCTGCAAGGACTTAACGGTGAGTAGCTAGGCGGGTGATGGACAGAGGTCAGGTGACAGGCAGGGAGCGGAGAGGCCTGGGGGTGGAGAAGATGGAAAGCCCCACATCTGTTCCATCCATTCCTCCTTTCTGAAGGCAGACAGACCCGGGAGAGTGGCAGCATTGACCCCTGAAACCCCCATCTCGGGGACTTCCCTACAGAAAAGAGGTCCCTGGGGCTGATCTGGTTTTTGGACTTTCAGAGTTCAGAGGAGGGAAGTTACATACTGAAAAGGACCAAGCCGGCCGGGTGTGGGAGAGCGAGGTGGGAGAGCGAGGCGGGAGGGCCACTTAAAGTCAGGAGCTCAAGACCGGCCTGGCCAACATGGTGAAACCCCGCCTCTACCAAAAATACAAAAATTAGCTGGGAATGGTGGCTCGTGCCTGTAATCCCAGCTATGCAGGAGACTGAGGCAGGAGAATGACTTGAACCTGGGAGGTGGAGGTTGCAGTGAGCTGAGATCTCACCACTGCACTCCAGCCTGGGCGACAGAGTGAGATTCTGTTAAAAAAAAAAAGGACCTGGGCCACCTCCTCCCATGTGGGAACCCTGTCCACAGGGGTCTTGGGAAAGGTGTGAGGGGTGAGTGGGGCAGTAGACAGAGGCACAAAATTGGCCCCAGGCAGAGCTGGGGGATGGGGCAAGAGAACCACTTCGTCAGCCCCTCAAGAAAGGTGAGTGAAGCCACAACTTGGCCAAGCTGGCTGTGCTGGCCTAGGCTGGTGTCTCGTAGGGGGTCCAGATGTACTTTCTGCTCACGGAGACTTGGGGAAGAGGAGAGAGCTGGCACTACCCAGCTTTGGGAGGTAATGAGGCACAGATGCCCACTGTGAGGACTCAGAAGGACTTGCCAGCAAATGGGCTTGTTTTTATGGGAAACACACACTCCTGGGCTCCATCGGGTTGCGGATGGGGCAGGCAGAGAAGGCCTGTGTGTGAGGCAGCCCAGATGCCTGGCACTGGGAGGAGGGGACTTGTTATTCTAAACCTTCTTCTGGTAACCAGGCACCCCGTAGTGGCGCCACCAGGATTCCTGGAACAGCCCGCTCAATCCCGGAGGCAGCCAGAGCTGCTGCTTGGCTGGTCAGCAAATTGGCCCCTTTGAGAGACCAGACCTCCTTGGGCCCAGAAGCAGTGGGGGACAATGGGGGACGGGGGGCTGGAGGCAGCGTTGGCCCTGCTGAGTGGCAGGTTGGGCCTGTCTCCCTGCCCTTTTCCCTGTTGGTAGATGATTTTCCACATTCCTCAAATCCTGCATCTGATTTTGTTTTGTTTTGAGTCTCACTCTCTCAAGCAGGCTGGAGTGCAGTGGTGCAATCTCAGTTCACTGCAAACTCCACCTCCTGGGTTCAAGCGACCCTCCTGCCTCAGCTTCCCAAGTAGCTAGGACCACAGGTCCAAGAGCCATCATGCCTGGCTAATTTTCCTATTTTTTGTTGAGATGGGGTTTCTCTTTGTAGCCCAGGCTGGTCTCGAACTCCTGACCTCAAGTGATCTGCCCACCTCAGCCTCCCAAAGTGCTGGGATGACAGGTGTGAGCCACCATGCCAGGCCCAAATCCTACATCGGAAGCAGGAGTTGAGTTCCCCGGTAGGAGCTTCCGTGTTCCCGAAGCAAGGTGGGGTGGTTCAGTGCCTCTGTGTCCAAGCCGGAGTGTCCTGGCCCTGTACTGGCTCCACAACGCAGCAGGTCCACTCAGGGCTCACTGGCCATTGTTAGGTAAGACATGGGGCATTCTGCTGGCAGGACCCTGAGCCAAAGGGTACCCGCCCAACCGTTGATTCACATTCAAAAAATAGCACCAGCTGGACACCTGCACTGGACACGGGGAGCAGAGATGGCGAGGACATCCTAGAGATGACCGTCTAGATGACACGCACTGACAGGTGACACCAGAGGCAGGGACCAGGACGGACCCACCCAGCTCTCCATCCCTTAGAGCACCCGCCATGGTGGTTGGCAAAGAGTGGGTGTTAGTGTCTGCAGAATGAAGATGGAATGAATGAGTAATTATGAAAGTCCCAGTTATGGACAGAATATGTGAGAAAGGGCCGGGTGCAGTGGCTCACGCCTGTATTCCCAGCACTTTGGGAGGTCGAGGTGGGTGGATCATTTGAGGTCAGCAGTTTGAGACCAGCCTGGCCAACATGGTGAAACCCCATCTCTACTAAAAATACAAAAATTAGCCAGGCATGGTTGTGCGTGCCTGTAGTCCCAGCCACTCGGGAGGCTGAGGCAGGAGAATTGCTTGAACCTGGGAGGCAGAGGTTGCAGTGAGCCAAGATCACTCCAGCCTGGAAATTGTGGCCTGGTGTAGTGGTGGCTCACGCCTATAATCCCAGCTCTTTAGGAGGCTGAGGTGGGAAAATTGCTTGAGGCCAGGAGTTTGAGACCAGCCTGGGCAACAAAGGGAGACCTTGTCTCTACAAAAATCTTAAATATTAGGGCCGGGCATGGTGACACATCTGTAATCCCAACACTTTGGGAAACCGAGGTGGGCAGATCACCTGCAGTCAGGAGTTCAAGACCAGCCTGGTCAACAAGGTGAAACCCTGTCTCTACTAAAAATATAAAAAATTAGCCGGGTGTGGTGGCAGGTGCCTGTAATTCCAGCTACTGGGGAGGCAGAAGCAGGAGAATCACTTGAACCTGAGAGCCGAGATCGTACCACTGCACTCCAGCCTGGGGGATAGAGCAAGACTGTCTCTAGGGAAAAAAAAACCACCTTAAATATTAGCTGAGTGTGTGCTGCACAACTTCAGTCCCAGTTACTCAGGAGGCTGGGGTGACGGGATCACTTGAGCCCAGGAGGTTGAGGCTGCAGTGAGCTATGATCGTACGACTGCGCTCCAGCCTGGGTAACAGAGTGAGACCCCCATCTCTACAAAGAAGTTTGTGTGTTTGAGTTGGAGTCTCGTTGTGTCGCCCAGGCTGCAGTGCAGTGGTACGATCTCGGCTCACTGCAACCTCCGCCTCCCAGGTTCAAGTGATTCTCCTGCCTCAGCCTCCTGAGTAGCTGGGACTACAGCCGTGTGCCACCATGCCCAGCTAATCTTTGCATTTCTAGCAGAGACGGGGTTTCATCATGTTGGCCAGGCTGGTCTCGAACTCCTGGCCTCAAGTGATCTGTCTGCCTCAGCCTCCTAAAGCGTGGAGATTACAGGCGTGAGCCACCGCACCCGACCTCAATTCAGAAACGTTTATTTGGAAAACTCACTATAGGCCAGTCTGGTGCCAGGAGATGGAAGGATGAGTGAGAAACAGTTCCAGGCCCCAAGGAGAACACCCCCTGGGTCGGGAGGGCTCACAGCTTCTTTCTGCTCCCCTCTCAGAGTCGCCCAGAGTCCACCCGCTGAGCATCTGAGCATGACCCGGGACGAGGCACTGCCAGACTCTCATTCTGCACAGGACTTCTATGAGAATTATGAGCCCAAAGAGATACTGGGCAGGTAAGGCCCACGCTTTCCCTATGAAGCGCTGTCCTAAACTCCAGCAGGCCCTGCGGGCTACAGCCACCTCCGCTCTACCATGAGGACTAAACCCACTTGCATCCCCAAAGTGCTGTCCGCTTGGAGAAACCCTTGGTTTGGGGTCCTGCCCTCCTGAAGCCAGGACAGATAAGATAAACCTCTCCCAGCATAAAGTTCCCAGGGGCAGGTACAGTGGCTCACGCCTGTAATCCCAGCATTTGGGGAGGCTGAGGTGGGAGGATTGCTTGAGGCCGGGAGTTCAAGGTCAGCCTAGGCAACACAGCAAAACTCCGTATCTTTTTTTTTTCAGACAAGGTCTTGTCCTGTCGTCCAGGTTTGAGCACAGTGGTATGATCTTGGCTGACCACAGTCTCTGCCTCCCAGGCTCAAGTGATCCTCCCACCTCCGCCTCCCTGGTAGCTGGGACCACAGGTGTGTGCCACCACATCTGGCTAACCATCTCTATTTTAAAAAAAAGAAAAAAGCAGCCAGGCACAGTGGCTCACGCCTGTAATCCCAGCACTTTGGGAGGCCAAGGCAGGAGGATTGCTTGCATCCAGGAATTCAGGATCAGCCTGGGCCACATAGTGAGACCTCGTCTCTACAAAAAATCAAAAATTAGCCAGATACGGTGATGTGCACCTGCAGACCAGCTACTCAAGAGGCACAGGTGGGAGGAATGCTCGAGCCCTGAGGAGTTGAGGGTGCAGTGAGCCGTGATCATGCCATTGCACTCAGCCTGTGCAACAGAGTGAGACCCTATCACACACACACACAAAGTTCTTAGGTGTTGTTAACAAGCACATCTAAACCCAGCTTTGACCAGAGTCAGGCATCAGGAATAGAGGGAGGATTACAGCACTGAGCGTAGGCTTCTTTCTTTCTGTATGTTGAGCAAGAGCCCTGAACTAGGGCCGGGCACGGTGGCTCACACTTGTAATCCCAGCACTTCGGGAGGCCAAGGTGGGCAGATCACCTGAGGTCAGGAGTTTGAGACCAGCCTGGACAACATGGTGAAACCCCATCTCATACTAAAAATAGAAAATTTAGCTGTGTATGATGGCATGCACCTGTAGTCCCAGCTACTGGGGAGGCTGAGACAGGAGAATCACTTGAACCCAGGAGGAGGAGCTTCAGTGAGCCAGGCGCAGAGCAAGACTCTCACTCTCAAAAAAAAAAAAGAGCAGCCAGGCAAAGTGGTTGATGCCTGTAATCCCAGCAAGCACTTTGGGAGGCCAAGGCGGGCAGATCACCCAAGGTTGGGAGTTTGAGACCAGACTGACAAACCTGGTGAAACCCCTTCTCTACTAAAAATAAAAAAATATATATATATCCACCGGGCGTAGCTGAGGTCGCCTGTAATCCCAGCCACTCGGGGGGAGGCGGAGGTTACAGTGAGCCGAGATCATGCCATTGCACTCCAGCGTGGGCGACAGAGTGAGACACCATCTCAAAAAAGAAAGAAAAAAGGGCCTGTGTGGGGGCTCATGGCTGTAATCCCAGCTACTTGGAAGGCTGAGGTAGAGAATTTCTTGAACCCAGGGGAGTGGAGGTTGCAGTGAGCCGAGACTGCACCACTTCACTCCAGCCTGGGCGACAGAGCCAGACTCTCTCTCATAAAAAGAGCACTGAACTAGGACTCGGATGGCCCGAGTGGGCGATCACTCATCAGCTCTGGGCAAATCACCCTCGGCGCCTGTATCTATTCATCCACCATCCCCAAAAGCTCAGAGGAAGCTGGGGGAAGTGTAAATCCGTTGACAGGGGCGGGACATCTCCGCTGGGGTGAGGGGTCCCCCGAGGCCGTCTGTCCTCTGCACTCCCAGGGGCGTTAGCAGTGTGGTCAGGCGCTGCATCCACAAGCCCACGAGCCAGGAGTACGCTGTGAAGGTCATCGACGTCACCGGTGGAGGCAGCTTCAGCCCCGAGGAGGCGCAGGAGCTGCGAGAAGCCACGCTGAAGGAGGTGGACATCCTGCGGAAGGTCTCAGGGCACCCCAACATCAGTGAGTGATGGCCCCGGGCCACACGGCGGGGGTGCCCCACCCCCGGTCATTCTGCACTGACAGCCCAAGCCAGGGAGTGTGGCCCCACCGCACAGCCGGCTAGAACCACCCAGGCTCAAGGGTCCCACTTGCACCCTCACTGCTGCGACATAGGGCGTCCCAGGCGGGGATGGATGCAGGTGGGGGAAAGGGAGTTTAATGTCCCTGGGCTGAATCAGCCAGGCACGGTGGTGCACGCCTGTGATCCCAGCCACTCGGGAGGCTCGGGCAGGAGCATCACTTGAGCCCGGGAGTTTGAGGCTGCGGTGAGCTGACTGCGCCATTACACTCCAGCCTGGGTGAGGGCTGTCTCAAACGTAACAACGATAATGAAGTCCCTGGGCCTGCCCACACCCCTGGTTGGCGATTCCCCTGTCAGCTTCTGAGGTCAGCCCACAGCAGCCCTGGCCCTCCCCCCGTGCCCGGGCTCCCCTGCTACCTGAGACCAGCCGGCCATTTCCATTTCAGTACAGCTGAAGGACACCTATGAGACCAACACTTTCTTCTTCTTGGTATTTGACCTGTAAGTACCCAGCCCCGGCGCCAACCGCACCCGGGAGAACCTCCGCCTGTTGTCCCCTCCCCCACCCAGGGCTGCCTGGAGGCCACCGCCAGTCCCTAAGCTGAGGATGCCAAATACATCCCGGTGTTTAGACAGATCAGCCCCTGGGTGGGGCGGCCGGGATTGAAAACTTGGGCTCACCGCTTGTGGGCTGGATCATTTCTTTAAATCTTGGTTTTCTCATAATAATTATGGGGGTGATAATAACACAGTGACTGGCACAGTGTGAATGCTAATAATTATTAGCTACAGACCGGGCGCACTGGCTTATGCCTGTAATCCCAGCCTCCCACTGTGGGAGGCCAACGCGGGCAGAACACCAAAGGTCAGGAGTTCGAGACCAGCCTGGCCAACATGGTGAAACCCTGTCTCTACTAAAAATACAAAAATTGTAATCCCAGCACTTTGGGAGGCCGAGGCAGGTGGATCACGAGGTCAAGAGATCGAGACCATCTTGGTCAACATGGTGAAACCCCGTCTCTACTAAAATTACAAAAAATTAGCCGGGCATGGTGGCGCATGCCTGTAATCCCAGCTACTCGGGAGGCTGAGGCAGGAGAATTGCCTGAACCCAGGAGGCGGAGGTTGCGGTGAGCCGAGATCGCGCCATTGCACTCCAGCCTGGGTAACAGGAGTGAAACTCTGTCTCAAAAAAAAAATACAAAAATTAGCCGGGCGTGGTGGCACACGCCTGTAATCCCAGCTACTGGAGAGGCTGAGGCAGGAGAGCCGCCTGAATGCAGGGAGCAGAGGTTGCAGTGAGCCAAGATCGCACTGCTGCACTCCAGCCTGGGCCACAGAGTAAGACTCTGTCACACACACACAAAATAATAGTTATTATTATTAGCTACAGTGACAATGATGATGGTGGGTCACTGGTATTTATTACTCTAGGCATGGGGGATTCGGCAATGAACACACAGACAGGGTCCCTGACGTATAGTTATGCACACGCACAGTAGTTCTGCAGTTTTACTTCCTGAAGTTCTAGTCACCTGTGGTCAACTGTGGTCCATAATAGATGCATACAGCACACTACAATACATGACAGAAAGACCACATTCTTACCGCTTTTATTATGGATTTCAGTAACGTGTGTGTGTGTGTGTGTGTGTGTGTATATGTATGTATTTTCTTTTTTCTTTTAGAGATAGGGTCTTGCTATGTTGCCCAGGCTGGTTTCAAACTCTTGGTCTTGCCAGGCGCGGTGGCTCCTGCCTGTAATCCCAGCACTTTGGGAGGTCAAGGTGGGCAGATCACTTGAGGTCAGGAGTTTGGTAAAATCCTGTTTCTACCAAAAATACACTTTTTAATTAGTTAAGTGTGATGGCATGTGTCTGTAATCTCAGCTACTTGGGAGGCTGAGGCAGGGAAATCGCTCCCATGAGCCGAGATCGTGCCACTGCACTCCAGCCTGGGCGACACAGCAAGACTCCATCTCAAAAAATAAAAAATAAAGGCTGGGCACAGTGGCTCACGCCTGTAATCCCATCACTTTGGGAAGCCAAGGAGGGTGGATCACTTCAGGTTTTGAGTTCAAGACCAGCCTGACCAACATGGAAAACTCCATCTCTACTAAAAATACAAAATTAGCTGGGTATGGTGGCACATGCCAGTAATCCCAGCTCCTCTGGAGGCTGAGGCAGGAGAATCGCTTGAACCCAGGAGGCAGACGTTGCGGTGAGCCGAGATCGAGCCACTGCATTCCAGCCTGGGCAACGAGAGCAAAACTCCATCTCAAGAAAACAACAAAAAAAAAGCGATCCTCCCACCTCAGCCTCCCAAAGCACTAGGATTACAGGCATGAGCCACCGTGCATGGCACAGTGTATTGATATAATTGTTCTATTTATTCTTGGTTGTTAATCTTACTGTGCCTAATTTATAAACTTTATCTTAGGTGTGTACATATAGGAAAAACAGTATGTATGGGCTTCAGTGCTACCCATGGTTTTAGGCACCCACTGGCGGTTTGGGAACATATTCCCTGCAGATAAAGAGGGACAACTGTAGACATATATAAACTAGAGCAAGGGGTTAGTGAGAGTCAGGGGCTTCTGAGACCGAGTGGTCAGGAAAGGGTGTCCAGGAAGGGACTCAAGCAGAGGGTGGCAGGATGTAAGGTCCGTCAGCAGCAAAGACCAGATCCTGCAGGCACTGAGTGCGAGGGTGACATGGTCTGATGTACTTTTCTTCTGAGTTTTGCTCAGTCACCCAGACTGGAGGGCAGTGGAGCGATCTTGGCTCACTGCCACCTCCGTCTCATGGGTTAAAGCAATTAATTGTCCTGCCTCAGCCTGCCAAGTAGCCAGGATTACAGGCACCCGCCACCAGGACCAGCAAATTTTTTTGTGTGTAATTTTTTCGTAGAGATGGGATTTCACCACATTGGGCAGGCTGCTCTGGAACTCCTGACCTCATGTAATCCACCCACCTTGGCCTCCCAAAGTGTTAGGATTACAGGCGTGAGCCACTGTGCCTGGCCTGACTTACTTTTGAAAAGATCCCACTGGCTATCCAGGGATGGCTGTAATGAGGCGGGACTGGAAAGAGGCCAGCAGCATCAGGGAGAGAGGAGGTGGCATAGGTTGCACCTGGGGTGTGGCCCAAAGATCAATATCGTCATCACCTTCATCACCACCATCATCATGCCCCTACCTCTACATCAACAGGATGAGTAAGACGAGCCCCTAATGGCTAAGCATCAAATTCGAACACCACAAAGTGCTCTGTGAAATGTGGATTCAAGGCTTATTATATAGGCCAGGCACGGTGGCTCACACCTATAATCTCAGCACTTTGGGAGGCCGAGGTGAGAGGACTGCTTGAGGCCAGGAGTTTGAGACCAGCTTGAGCAACAAAGTGAGACCCCATTTCTGTAAAAAAATTTATTCTTTTTTTTATTTTTTAGTAGAGACGGGGTTTCACCATGTTGGCTAGGATGGTCTCGATCTCCTGACCTCGTGATCCACCCACCTCAGCCTCCCAAAGTGCTGGGATTACAGGCCTGAGTCACCGCGCCTGGCCTACAAAAAATTTTAAAATTAGGGCCAGGCGTGGAGTTCATGTCTGTAGTCCCAGTACTTTGGGGGGCTGCAGTGGGCCAGGAATAGGAGACCAGCCTGGGCAACGTGGCATAACCCTATCTCTACAAAAAAATACAAAAATTAGTCCAGCATGGTGGCAGGTATCTGTAATCCTAGCTACTCAGGAGGCCGAGGCACAAGAATGGCTTGAACTTGGGAAGCAGAGGATGCAGTTGGCTGAGGCCGTGCCACTGCACTCCAGCCTGGGCAACAGGGAGACTGTCCAACCCCTCCAGACTCACCGGCTGCGGCTGTCTCAACTCTGCTCTGTGGCACTGTCCTGTACAGCCCTAGGGGGCAGCTCGAATGTCTTTAACCTTTGAAGAAGCTGCTGGGGGAAGCTATTTTTAACGGTGCCCTGAGGAGCCCTCCAGCATATAACCAGATGGTTCTAGAGGAGACTTCTTTCTACGTCATCCCAGGAGGGAAGAAGATTGAACTGCAGTTTTTAATCCCGCAACTGGCAAACTTTGTTACTGCAACTCTTGCACAGCCGACTTCCCATTTGTTTCCTGGGAAAAATCGGGATACTCAGCCAGGCGCGGTGGCTCTCGCCTGTAATCCCAGCACTTTGGGAGGCTACCTGAGGCCAGGAGTTCGAGACTAGCCTGGAACACGGAGAAACCCTGTCTCTACTAAAAATACAAAAATTAGCCAGGTGTGGCGGGGGGCGTCTGTAATCCCAGCTACTCAGAAGGCTGAGGCAGGACAATTGCTTGAATCTGGGAGGCGGAGGTTGCAGTGAGCCCAGATCATGCCATTGCATTCCAGCCTGGGCTACAAGAGCAAAAACTCGGCCAGGCACGGTGGCTCAAGCCTGTAATCCCAGCACTTTGGGAGGCCAAGGCGGGTGGATCACGAGGTCAAGAGATCGAGACCATCCTGGTCAACACGGAGAAACCCCGTCTCTACTAAAAATACAAAAAAATTAGGCGGGCATGGTGGTGCGTGCCTGTAATCCCAGCTACTCGGGAGGCTGAGGCAGGAGAATTGCCTGAACCCAGGAGGCGGAGGTTGCGGTGAGCCGAGATCACGCCATTGCACTCCAGCCTGGGGAACAAGAACAAAACTCCGTCTCAAAAAAAAAAAGAGAGAGAGAGAACAAAAACTGTCTCAGATTAAAAAAAAAATCTGGATACTCATCCTTCTCATCTGGATCTGAGGTCCTGGGCCAGTGGTTCAGGGTCCCCTTTCAGCCTCCAGCCATGATTTAGGCTCCGATACATCCCAGTCCACGGTGTCACTTCCATAGATGGAAGAGAAATGGTGCTTGAGCTGGGACTCCCCGATTGTCCACCAACTTCAGGGCCAGGGCGGAGTACTGTTCACAGGGCCACCAGCTTGGGGCCCGTTGCTTCCCTGGTTGCTTCCAGCCATCCTGGCCTGAAACCAGGGCAATGGGAACCTGGGAGAGGACTCACCTAGGAAATGCCTAGTCCATGAAAGGTGGGATTTTTATTCCAGGGGAAACATTAAGTTAGGGGAAGAAACCCAGGTCATCTCTACTGCTCGGAGGGGCGACGAGAGCCTGAGGACCGGATGTGGGCCACCTCTCCTGCCTCCTTTGCTTTTCTCCCAGTTCTTCTCAAACCACTTCTCTCCTCACTTCCCGGGCTCCCCTCCCCAGACTGTGGTTCTCCATGGGGACTGGCCCACTTAGCTTCTAGAGGTACCAGGTGGAAGGCAGCTCTCTGGGAGCAGGGGAAGGAGGCTGGTGGTCTTGGGACCAACCCAGTTACCAATCCTGTTTCCACAGAATGAAGAGAGGGGAGCTCTTTGACTACCTCACTGAGAAGGTCACCTTGAGTGAGAAGGAAACCAGGTGAGGGTCCCTTTGCCCTTCTCTCTGCTCCCTCCCACTTGGCCTAGGGCCACGGGCACTGGGGTCTCCGGGGAGGCAGGGCTGGGCGCATGTGCCGCTCCCTTGCAGTGTGGCTGAAATGTGAGCTGTGTCTCCCTGCCTGTCGCCTGACCCTGCACAGGGGAAGAGTGACAAGTGTGTGCCCCACCCTAGAAAGATCATGCGGGCTCTGCTGGAGGTGATCTGCACCTTGCACAAACTCAACATTGTGCACCGGGACCTGAAGCCTGAGAACATCCTTCTGGATGATGACATGAACATCAAGCTCACAGACTTCGGCTTTTCCTGCCAGCTGGAGCCCGGAGAGAGGCTCCGAGGTCCGGTAACATGACCTCGGCCCACGTCTGAGCCTCAGGCTCTCATCCCCCCTCCATGGAATAGAGATGGCCTGGGCTTCTCCCCTAACTTAATTCCCCAGAACAAAAATCCCACCATTTCATGGGCTAGGCATTTCTTCAGGTAAGTCCTCTCCCAGGCTCCCATTGCCCTAGTTCCAGACCGGGATGGCTGGAAGTAACCGGGGAAGCAGTGGGCCCTGGGCTGGTAGCCCTGTGAACAGTACTCCACCCTGCCCTGGGCCCTGAAGCTGGTGAACACTGGGGGAGTCCCAGCCCAAATGCCATTTCTGTTCCATCTCCCTTGTCAGTTTGGACTTCCTCTTTATTTTTGAGATGTGGGGCAATCTCGGCTCACTGCAACCTCTGCCTCCTGGATTCAAGCTTCCTGAGTAGCTGAAACTACAGACATGTGCCACCTTGCCCTGCTAATTTTTATATTTTTCACAGAGATGGGGGTATCGCCATGTTGGCCAGGCTGGTCTCAAACTCCTGGCCTCAGGTCACCCACCTGCCTCGGCCATCAGTGCTAGGATTACAGACATGAGTCACTGCACCCAGCCTGGACTTCCTATTCTGAGCACCCTGCTGACCTGTCTTGATGGTGACTGTTCCTGCAGAGGTCTGTGGGACCCCCAGTTACCTGGCCCCTGAGATCATCGAGTGCTCCATGAATGAAGACCATCCAGGCTACGGGAAGGAGGTGGACATGTGAGTGCCGGGGGAGAGGAGCACCCGGCTGGGCTGGGCCGGTGCCCCTGGCGCTGGTAAGTGGCCCTGAGCCCTCACATCCAGGTGGAGCACTGGAGTTATCATGTACACACTGCTGGCCGGCTCCCCGCCCTTCTGGCACCGGAAGCAGATGCTGATGCTGAGGATGATCATGAGTGGCAACTATCAGTTTGGCTCACCCGAGTGGGATGATTACTCAGACACCGTGAAGGACCTGGTGAGAGGCCACGGTGCCAGGCGCCCCTGTCCGAGGAGGCCCTGCATCTCCTGACATGCTGAGGGGACCCCCCTTGACATTCTCAGTTCCCCTCTCGTCCCCTTCCAGGTCTCCCGCTTCCTGGTGGTGCAACCCCAGAGCCGCTGCACAGCAGAGGAGGCCCTGGCGCACCCCTTCTTCCAGCAGTACGTGGTGGAGGAAGTGCGGCACTTCAGCCCCCGGGGGAAGTTCAAGGTACGAAGCATCCCGACCCAGCCCCTGTGGCAGCTGCTGCCAGCACCCCACGTCCAAACCTCTAAGCTCTCCTCTCCCAGGTGTCCTTACACCCCAAGGGTTTCCAGAGCACCTGCCCCTCCCTCCTAGCCACCCTGTGACGGCTCCGGTTGCACTGCCAGCTTCAGAGATGATAGGTGTCAGCCCACTCCATCCCTGCAGATGCCAGTGAGGAGGAAGTGGGAGACACTAGGAGGGGCCCCAAGAAGCCACTCAAGGCTTCGTGGCAAACAAGCCCAGGGCGTCCCTGTGCTGGACGGCCAGGGGCTGGCTGGCGGGGGCTACAGCCCAGCTTCTCCTGGCTGGCAGGTGATCGCTCTGACTGTGCTGGCTTCAGTGCGAATCTACTACCAGTACCGCCGAGTGAAGCCAGTGACCCGGGAGATCGTCATCCGAGACCCCTACGCCCTCCGGCCTCTGCGCCGACTCATCGACGCCTACGCCTTCCGAATCTACGGCCACTGGGTGAAGAAGGGGCAGCAGCAGAACCGTGCTGCCCTCTTCGAGAACACACCTAAGGCAGTGCTCCTCTCCCTGGCTGAGGAGGACTACTGAGGGGCTGGCCAGTCAGGGAGGGCTGGGGGCAGGTGGGGAGGGGAAGCCAGGGAAATAAAAGCCAAAGGGGTGAGACGCATGCAGGCCTCTGCAGAAGGAGCTCTTGGCCCTCACCAGAAAGCCCTGGAGTTGAGGCCATGACCCCCTCTCACAGGCTGTGCATGAGGGAAGTGGGTGTTCCCACCACACAGCAATACCTGCAGGCTGGCCAGGCCCTGGGTGGGCAGAGATGACATGTGGCCTGAACCAGGGGCCCCCTGCTCCTCCCCTTCCTAGATGAGCCACCATCTCAGTTTCTCTTTAGTTACTGACACTCGGGCCCTCTTTCCTTAGGGTCCTAGGGTGAGGATCAAAGACACAGAAATGAGGTTGTATTGACCCCACGACCTCTAGTGACAGTGCAGGAGCAGGCTACTCTCCAGGAACATGTCTTTGGAGGCATATGGAGAAGGGGAACCAGGTGCGGTGGCTCACACCTGTAATCCCCGCACTTTGGGAGGTCAAGGTGGGAGGACTGCTTGAGGCCAGGACTTCAAGACCAGCCTGGGCAACATGGTGAGATCCCATTACTATAAAAATTCAAAAAATTAGCCAGGCATGGTGGTGCACACTTGTAGTCCCAGCTACTTGGGAAGCTGAGGTGGGAGAATTGCTTGAGCCCAGGAGTTCAAGGCTGCAGTAAGCCGTGATCACCACTGTCCTCTGTGTGGGCAACAAAGCAAGACCCTGTCTCAGAAGAATTAAAATAAAAAGCAACAGAATGGGAAGCTTCTGCTATTTGTGTTCCTGGAGAATTATTTGCTTTGTGATCCCCACAATGCACCGCTTCACCTGGTACATCATGTGGTCCTCGCAGGCCCTTTAAACAGCCACATGCCTGCCTGTTACACACTGGAAACGAGTTTCCTTCAGACGGACACGAAACGACAGAGGAGGCCACGAAAAAAGCATTCTCCTTCCACAGCAATTGGCCAGGAAAACAAACAGAACCACAAAATCCTGCCTTCAGGAAACAACGTCGGCTTCCTGAATCATCTAGGGAGAAAGTGGGAGAGAACGGATTTTAAAATGTTTAACAAATGGCCTTCAGAGCCTTCTGTTCAACTGTTTCCGTGTTTACCCCCGTGTCGATACTCGGCTTCAAAGAGAAACACCGAGCTCCCAGCCACCATCAACACATTAGGCCCCCGCTCCAAGACACAGCAGGCTGAGTCCTCTCCTGCCACAGAGGGATGGGAGACAGGAAAGGGGAAGTTTCTTCCCGAGGCTGAGGCTCCTGAGCGTGGACCTGGGCTGTGTTTGCAACATGGCCAGAGAATGACAGTGACCCCGAAGGGCTTTTCTCCTTGTCACCGCCCGGCTGCTCACAGCTCCCCCGGCGGCCGGCCTGTGTCTGCTGCACAGCGGAAGCCCAGGTTGTCTGAGGCTGAATCTGGAGTATTGCCCATCCTGCCAGCAGAGAAGGGGAGAGAGGAGGGACATGTCCTGAGAAAGAGGCCTGGGGGCTTACCCATCTTGCCTGCCTCACCCACAGGACTGGCTGTGGTCAGGGGGCCTGAGGGCTGGGGAGGGCATGGTCCGGAAATAAGCCTAATTTGAGGGCAGGTCCCGAGCCTGGACCAGTCCTGGGAGAAAGGGGACAAGAAGGGGCTTTGCGACAAAAGAAGGGGCCTTGCAGGAGGGAAGGGACGGCAGAAAAGACAGTGACTAACGTCTACTGTTGGCAGCTGAGAACAATTCCGTAGAGAAAACCCATCCTCGAGCAATGAATATCGTGGCCGGGTGCAGTGGCTCATGCCTGCAGTCCCAGCACTCCGGGAGGCCAGGGCGGGCTGAGTGCTTGGGTCCAGGAGTTAGAGACAAACCTAGGCAGCCTGGCAGACCTATCGCTACAAAAATGAGCTGGGCATAGTGGTGCTGCCACTGCAGGTGGCAGGTCCCGGATACTTGAGGACCTGCAGTGGGAGAAACGCCAGAGCCTGGCAATCTGAGGCTGCAGTGAGCCGAGACTAAACCACCACACTGCAGCACGGGCAACAGAGTGAGACTTCGTCTCGAAAACAAAAACTGATTTTTTGTGTGCCCACCAGTTTGAAGAGTCAGTAACTCCAGGACCACCAGCAGTGACCTACTGATGTGGTCATTCCACTCCCCTCCCTTTGCCCACCTAGCTGTGAGGACAAGAGGAGAAAGCCCATAATTAAGATGCCACACACGGTCTCCCTGGGTACTGAGAGCTGGCAGAAAAGTCACAAGGCGTCCTGGGCCCCTTTGCTTTTCATGGCAAGTGCTGCTGGCTTTCTTTTCTGCACCCACAACAGGACGCGGGCTCAGGGAGGTACTGGGACCGGCTCATTACACACAAACGGTTGTGGTGTGAAGGTGGGGCCATTCCGGACCAGGATCCAGACTAAGCGTTCCCGGGGACCAAGCCCCTTACCTGGTGGTGACCCGGGCCCGGTGATTGGCAGAGCCATCAGCTGTGTCGATCCAGGATGCCCCCCGAAGGACGCGCATGTCCTGCTCAGCGGCCTGGTATGGAGATGCTGTCCACTCCCACACATTGCCCAGGAGGTCATAGAGCCCTGCAGCCCCACCAGTGGGTCAGGCCAGGCTAGGACCCATGGACCAGCCCGTCTACCCTCTGAGGTCCTGGGGGCAACTGGGGGAAGGGAGGTGCTTCCCTCTGCCTCCTCTCTCAGACACCATGGTCTCAGCAGCCAGTCTGAGAGCACAGCCGCGAGCCCACGGGAGCTCTTACCGTAGCTGTTCTGGGCAGGGAAAGCATTCACTGGGGAGACTCCATGGAAGCCGTCCTCAGCCTTGTCCCCTTTGGGGAATTTTCCCTGATGGGAGAAAGGAAGGGTAAAGGATTTACCTCCTGCCTATCTAGAGGAAAACCACAGGGCAGTGACCTAAGGTTTCCATACGGAGCTCCCAGTCCTGTCACCTCACACCTCCATGGTAAGCTCCCTGCTGGATTAGGAAGAGTGTTTACGCTGTGCCCACAGGGCTCCAGGTCAAGCCCAGTCCACACCTGTCCTGTCCACTCTCAGCAACTTCCTGCCCTCTGCCTAGAACCCCACATGCCACAGAGCCTCCAGAAGACAGGTTTCTCCCTGCCTCCTCCGCAGCCCGCCCCCCGACCCTGCCTGAGCACTGCAGCCGACTCCTGCCAGCCTTCCCCAGTCAGTACTTTTCCACTTGCTTATTTTATCTCTACTTATTTATTTTTTTTTTGAGGTAAGGTCTCATTCTGTCGCTCAGGCTGGAGTGCAGTGGAAGTGTGATCGTAGCTCACTGCAACCTCTGCCTACTGGGTTCAAGTGATTCTCCTGCCCAAGTCCCAGGCAGCTGGCATTACAGGTGCATGTTACCACACCCAACTAATTTTTTCTTATTTATTTATTTACTTACTTATTTTTTTGAGATAGACTTTTGCTCTTGTTGCCCAGGCTGGAGTGCAGTGGAGTGATCTTGGCTCACCGCAACCTCTCTCTCCTGGGTTCAAATGATTCTCTTGCCTCCGCCTCCCAAGTAACTGGCATTGCAGGCATGTGCCACCATGCCCAGCTGGTTTTGTATTTTTAGTAGAGATGGGGTTTCGCCATGTTGGTCAGGCTGGTCTTAAACTTCTGACCTCAGGTGATCCACCTGCCTTGGCCTTCTAAAGTGCTGGGATTACAGGTCTGAGCCACCACACCTGGCCACCGTAAGTACTTTTTATTAAAGATTTGTAGGGCTGGGTACGGTGGCTCACGCCTGTAATCCCAGCAATTTGGGAGGCTGAGGCAGGCGGATCACCTCAGGAGTTTAAGACCAGCCTGGTCAACATGGCGAACCCCCATCTCTACTAAAAATAGAAAAAAAAAATAGCTGGCTGTGGTGGGAAGCACCTGTAATCCCAACTACTCGGGAGACTGAGGCAGGAGAATCGCTTGAACCACGGAGGTGGAGGCTGCAGTGAGCCGAGATCACACCACCGCACTCCGGCCTGGGTGACAGAGACTCTGTATCAAAAAAAGAAAGAAAGAAAAAGAAATCAAGTACTTATGCCCTGTTGTCTTTTGCTTTACCAGCTATGAGCCATCGGCTCCGTCAGAACGCAAGCCCTCTGGATGCCGAGGCCTGACACGCAGTGCCTGGCCTGCAGGTCTCAGTGGTGCTTGGTGAAAGGAGGAGTGTAGGTCTCACCTGCCACAGGTTGGTGCGGTTTGGCTGGAACCGGTTCCCCCATGGGTAAACCTGACCTGCCGGGAGAGCAGGGAGGCAGCAGAGGAGCAGAGTGAAGAATTGGGGAAGAAAAAAAGACAGAGTGAGAGAACCAAAGGAAGTTAGGGGGTTTTGAGAAAAAAGAGTGAAATGACCTGCTTTTAATTCCCCAGGCCCGTCCTCCCCACCCACTGCACTGCCCTGGGGGCCCTGGCCTCCTCATGTGCTCCGGGGCAATGCAATCCTAAGCATGGTCTGGGACCTGAGCTGGTTTACGAATGTGAGCCACAGCACCTGGCCCAGTTATTACTCTTTTTTTTTTTGAGATGGAGTCTCGCTCTGGCGCCAGGCTGGAGTGCAATGGCGTGATCTCGGCTCACTGCAACCTCCACCTCCTGGATTCAAGCGATTCTTCCGCCTCAGCCTCCCGAGTAGCTGAGACCACAGGCGCGCACCACCACACCCAGCTAAATTTTGTATTTTTAGTAGAGACGGGGTTTCACCATGTTGGCCAGGATGGTCTCAATCTCTTGACCTCGTGATCTGCCCACCTTGGCCTCCCAAAGTGCTGGGATTACAGGCATGAGCCACCGCGCCCAGCCCCTTCCCACCCTTTAAAGCCCCCCCTGCAAGGCGGGACAGGGAAAAGAATAAAGAAAAATCGCCTCATCAGCTGGATACCCTTCAAGCCCCCTCGGGCAGCAAACTCCCACTCTTCCTCGGTGGGCAGCCGTTTTCCCCGCCAAGCACAGTAGGCACGGGCATCATTCCAGCTCACGTGTAACACTGGGTGCTCCAGTCTCTCTCGGATGCCAGAGCCAGGACCTGCAGGCTGACAGCCAGGATGAAGTGAGACGGGCTTCCGGGAGTGCAGTAAGTACCTGGCAGGCTAGATTTAGGGTGCCTGCATTCGGCCTTTACCAGTAGATGGAGTAGGGGAGCTGGAAGAGAGCCGGGCAAGTGAGGGGCATCCGGAGCCAGAAGAGAGACTACGGGAGACGGCAGGGAGAAATGGACGGGTAGCAGGAAACAGGATTCGGGCAGCGAAAACAGGACGGCTGAGCGATTTCCTGATATTCCCGTCGGCCTCTGAAACCCAGTGTTCCTAGATGTACAAGAGGTACAGGAAGCTGGCCTGGAGAACGAAAGTCAAGCAGGGGAGGAAATGAGGTGGTGGAATCAGCCCTTACCTGCCTCCAAAATGCCTTTTCCACTGGAAGCCACCAGAGTACAGGCTGCAAAAAAGGAGACCAATAAGGGTGGTCTTAAAATACTCCGCCCAGCAAGGGCACTTTCCCAGCTGAGCCGCAGGACACAGAACAGACGTCAGGCTGAGACTCAGGTGGTCGAAGGCAGGTTGTGGCTGAAATTTTTTTTTTTTTTTGAGACAATGTCTTGCTCTGTCACTCAAGCTACAGTGCAGTGGCACCATCACAGCTCACTGCAGTCTCAGCCTCCTGAGTTGTGCAAGACCACGCCCAGCTAAAGATTTTCTTACTTTTTTGTAGATATGGGGTCTCACTATGTTGCCCAAGCTGGTCATGAATTCCTGGGCTTAAGTGACTGTCCCACCTCAGCCTCCCAAAGTGCTGAGATGATAGGCGTGAGCCGCCACGCCCAGCTGAGACTGGCATCTTTATAGAGTCCCATCTTACCAACCACCCTTACTGGAGGTTGGCTTGCCAAGGTGACCTCTATTTTTTAATTTTTTGAGACAGATCTCTTTTTTTGTTGTTGCCCAGGCTGGAGTGCAGCCGTGCGATCTCCGCTCACTGCAACCTCAGCCTCCCTGGTTCAAGTGATCCTCTGGCCTTAGCCTCCTGAGTGGCTGGGATTATAGATGTGCATCATCACACCTGGCTAATTTTTGTATTTTTAGTAGAGATGGCGTTTTGTCATCTTGCCCAGGCTAGTCTCAAACTCCTGACCTCAGGTGACACACCCACTTCAGCCTCCCAAAGCGCTGGGATTATAGGCATGAGCCACCGCACCTGGCCCCTCAAGGTGATCTCCTGATTCAGGAAGTATCCTGAACCCTATGCTGACTTCGACGTTTAGGCAAGAGCTAACCTGGGTTCAGGGTTAACTTCCTGGGAGTGTGTACTGATCTGACACTCCAGGGTGGGTTTCTCTTGCTTCCCCTCGGCTGTCAGCTCAGGTCTGATTCTCCACTGTGTCCCACAGGATTCTCTGTCTGGGTCCCACTCCTAGACTCCAGCTCTCAGTCCAGGTCTGATTCTCCACTGTGTCCCAGGTGACCCAGGCCCCGCAGGATTCTCTGTCTGGGTCCCACTCCTGACTCCAGCTCTCAGTCCAGGTCTGATTCTCCACTGTGTCCCAGGTGACCCAGGCCCCACGGGATTCTCTGTCTGGGTCCCACTCCTGACTCCAGCTCTCAGTCCAGGTCTGATTCTCCACTGTGTCCCAGGTGACCCAGGCCCCACGGGATTCTCTGTCTGGGTCCCACTCCTAGACTCCAGCTCCCGGGTCTGATTCTCCACTGTGTCCCAGGTGACCCAGGCCCCGCAGGATTCTCTGTCTGGGTCCCACTCCTGACTCCAGCTCTCAGTCCAGGTCTGATTCTCCACTGTGTCCCAGGTGACCCAGGCCCCATAGGAATTTCTGTCTGGGTCCCACTCCTAGACTCCGGCTCCCAGGTCTGATTCTCCACTGTGTTCCAGGTGACCCAGGCCCCACGGGATTCTCTGCTTGGGTCCCACTCCTAGACTCCAGCTCCCAGGTCTGATTCTCCACTGTGTTCCAGGTGACCCAGGCCCCACGGGATTCTCTGTCTGGGTCCCACTCCTAGACTCCAGCTCCCGGGTCTGATTCTCCACTGTGTCCCAGGTGACCCAGGCCCCACAGGATTCTCTGTCTGGGTCCCACTCCTAGACTCCAGCTCCCGGATCTGATTCTCCACTGTGTCCCAGGTGACCCAGGCCCCGAGGATTCTCTGTCTGGGTCCCACTCCTGACTCCAGCTCTCAGTCCAGGTCTGATTCTCCACTGTGTCCCAGGTGACCCAGGCCCCGAGGATTCTCTGTCTGGGTCCCACTCCTGACTCCAGCTCTCAGTCCAGGTCTGATTCTCCACTGTGTCCCAGGTGACCCAGGCCCCGAGGATTCTCTGTCTGGGTCCCACTCCTGACTCCAGCTCTCAGTCCAGGTCTGATTCTCCACTGTGTCCCAGGTGACCCAGGCCCCGAGGATTCTCTGTCTGGGTCCCACTCCTGACTCCAGCTCTCAGTCCAGGTGTCCTCACCTTCATGGGCTGGGTGGCTTTGTTTCTCAGCTCATCGGAGACAAAGCCCTCAAAGACGAAGCTCCATCCAAACATCTCAGCCTCTGTCCGATACTTTTTCTCCCTGATAAAATCCCTGCAAAGACACAGTTCAGCTGGTTCAGCTCATGAGGTTCTGTGCCTGCCCTACCCTCTCCTGCTCCAGGAAACCTCAGACAACCTTGTCCCGTAGGTTACACACCACAGTGTTCATGATCGTCAAGGAACTAACCTGAAGACTGAGCGATTCTCTTTCAAATTAGGGTGCAATAAATTCACATACAGTAGAATTCACCCTCTGCAGTGTTTAGTTCTGTGAGGCTTATTTATTGCTTTTTACTTTATTTATTTTTTTAATACGGAGTCTTGCTCTGTTGCCCAGGCTGGAGTGCCAGTGGTGGAATCTCGGCTCACTGCAACCTCTGCCTCCTAGGTTCAAGTGATTCTCCTGCCTCTGCCTCTCGAGTAGCTGGGATTTGAGGCACACACCCACATCCAGCTAATTTTTGCATTTTTTGTAGAGACAGGGTTTCACAATGTTGGCCAGGCTGGTTTCGAACTTCTAAACTCAGGTAATTCACCCACCTCGGCCTCCCAAAGTGTTGGGATTACTGGTGTGAGGCACAACACCTGGCCAATTTTTTTTTTTAGACAGAGTTTTACTCTGTTGCTCAGGCTGGAGTGTAGTGGTGCGATTTCAGCTCACTGCAACCTCCACCTCCTGGGTTCAAGGGATTCTCCTGCCTCAGATTCCCCAGCAGCGGGGATTACAGCCATACTACCATGCCCAGCTAATTTTTGTATTTTTAGTAGAGGTGGGGTTTCACCATGTTGGCCAGGCTGGTTTCGAACTCCTGACCTCGTGATCCTCCCTCCTCGATCTCCCAAAGTGCTGGGATTATAGGCATTAGCCACTGGCCCCAAATAACTCCAAATAACTTTTTACTTATTTTAGTTATTTATTTTTTTAAGATCAGGTCTCACTCTTGTCACCTAGGCTGGAATGCAGTAACCCAATCATGGCTCACTGTAGCCTCAACCTCCTGGGTTCAAGCAATTTTCATGCCTCAACCTCCCGATTTATTTTAATTATCTGTATTTTGAGACTGGGTCTCACTCTGTCACCCAGCCTGGAGTGAAGTGGGGCAGTCACAGTCTCGACTTCCTGGGCTCAAGCGATCTTCCCTCCTCAGCCTCCCAAGTAGCTGTGACTACAGGTGCATGCCACCATGCCCAGCTAATTTTGTAGACATGAGGGTTCATTATGTTGACCAGGCTGGTCTAAAAATCCTGAGATCAAGTGATCTGCCCACCTTGGGCTCCCAAAGTGTTGGGATTACAGGCGTTTGCCACTGCGCCCGGCGGCTCTGTGAGTTTGACAAAGGATATGGTCACTATCATAAAATTAGGAAACAGAGATGGAGGGATCCAAGATGGCCGATTAGGAGCAGCTCTGCACTGCAGCTCCCAGTGAGAGCGTGGAGGGTGAGTGCACGCCGTATTTCCAGACAGATTTTTATTGCCCACAGACCAGGAGATTCCCAGGCAGAGGAATGCCACGGGTCGCCAGTGTGGCTGTTTTGGCTGGTGCGGTGGATCTCCACACAAAAAACTCACACATGCCGTTTCAGCTGGTGCCGTTTCAGCTGGTGACTGGAGCACCTGGGAGACAGAGTTTCCCATTCAACTGATAAAAAGGGGACTGAGGCTGGTCCAAAGGTAGTGAGTTATCTCAACTGATTGTTCACAGTCAGTTACAGATCCAACTCCTTGTTCTACTCTTTCCCCGCTTCTCACTACTGCACTTGACTAGTCTTAAAAAAAAGGGGCGGGAGGGACTGAAACAGGGAGCCAGGCCAGGAGATTCCCGGGTGGAAAGGCACAACAAGTCTCCAGCACAGCCAGCACAGCAGGTCTCCACACAAAATCTCACACAAATCCGGTGCCTTTTCAACTGGCGACTGGAATGCCTGGGAGACAGAGTCACCCATTCAACTGAAAAAAAGGGGACTGAAACAGGAAGCCGGGCCAGGAGATTCCCAGGTGAAAAAGCGCCACGAGTCTCCAGAGGCTGTTTCAGCTGGCACAGCGGGTCTCCGTACAAGAAATCACACAAATCTGGGCGCCATTTCAACTGGTGACTGGAATGCGAATGCCTGGCAGACAGAGTGGCCCATTCAACTAAAAAAAAAGGGGGTCTGAGGCAGGGAGCCAGGTGATCAGGCTCCGCCAGTCCCACCCCCACAAAAATGAGCAATCTGAAACGCTATGGATTGAGAGTTTCACAGCAAGCACGGCTGAACCTGGGACAGTCCAGCTCTGTGGGGGAGGGGTGTCTGCCATTACTGCAGCAGTCCACCACAGCTGAGGCGGCCCACCATTGGGGACAAAGATAGCAGAAGAAGAAACTGGCAGCAACCCTTACTGTTCTGCAGCTGCTGCAGGTGATCCCCAGGCAAGCAGGGCGTGGAGTGGACCTCAGCAGTCCTACAGCACATGGGCCTGACTGTTAGAAGGAAAACTAAGAAACAGAAAGAAATAACTTCATCACCAACAAACTGGACGTCCACTCAGAGACCCAATCTGAAACTCAACTACAAAGACCTCAGGTAAATAAATCCACAAACATCGGAAGAAACCAGCACAAAAAGGATGAAAACACCCAAAACCAGAACGCCTCTCCTCCTCCAAGGGATCACAACTCCTCACCAGTAAGGGAACAAGGCTGGATGGAGAATGAGTCTGACGAATTGACAGAAACAGGCTACAGAAGGTGGGTAATAACAAACGTCCTGAGCTAGAAGGACATGTTCTAACCCCATGCAAAGAAACTAAGCACCTTGAAAAAAGGCTTGACGAAATGCTAACGAGAATAAACAGCTTAGAGAGGAATATAACTGAATTGATGGAGTTGAAAAACACAACACAAGAACTTCGCAAAGCATCACAAGTTTTAACAGCCGAACTGACCAAGCAGAAGAAAGGCTATCAGAGGTCAAAGATCAACTCAATGAAATAAAACAAGAAGGCAAGATTAGAGAAAAAAAGAGTAAAAAGAAACGAACAAAGCATCCAAAATATATGGGACTATGTGCAAAGACCTAATCTAGTTTGATAGGTGTACCTGAATGTGACAAAGAGAATGAATCCAAGCTGGAAAATACTCTTCAGAATATTATACAGGAAAACTTGCCCAACTGAGCAAGGCAGGCCAATATTCAAGTCCAGGAAATACAGAGAACACCACAAAGATACTCCTCAAGAAGAGCAACCCAAAGGCACATAATCGTCAGATTCACCAGGGTTGAAATGAAGGAGAAAATGCTAAGGGCAGCCAGAGAGAAAGGTTGGGTTACCCACAAAGGGAAGCCTATCAGACTCACAGCAGATCTCTCAGCAGAAACCCTACAAACCAGAAGAGAGTGGGGGCCAATATTCAACATCCTTAAAGAAAAGAACTTTCAACCTAGAATTTCATATCCAGCCAAACTAAGCTTCATAATTGAAGGAGAAATAAAATCCTTTATGAACAAGCAAGTACTCAGAGATTTTATTACCACCAGGCCTGCTTTACAAGAGCTCCTGAAAGAAGCACCTAAACATAGAAAGGAACAACCAGTACCAGCCACTCCAAAAACATACCAAATTGTAAAAAGCATCAACACAATGAAGAAACTGCATCAACTAATGGGCAGAACAGCCAGCTAGCATCAAAATGGCAGGATCAAATTCACACATAAAAATATTAACCCTAAATGTAAATGGGCTAAACGCCCCAATCAAAAGACACAGACTGGCAAACTGGATAAAAAGCCAAAACCCATCGGTGTGCTGTATCCAGGAAACCCATCTCACATGCAAGGATACACAAAGGCTCAAAATAAAGGGATGGAGGAAGATTTACTAAGCAAATGAAGACCAAAAAAAGAGCAGGAGTTGCAATTCTCGTCTCTGATAAAATAGACTTTAAACCAACAAAGATCAAAAGAGACAAAGAAGGACATTACATAATGGTAAAAAGATCAATACAACAAGAAGAGCTAATGATCCTAAATATATATGCACCCAATACAGGAGCACCCAGATACATAAAGCAAGTTCTTAATGACCTACAAAGAGACTTAGACTCCCACATAATAATAGTGGGAGACTTTAACACTCCACTGTCAATATTAGACAGATCAACCAGACAGAAAATTAACAAGGATATCCAGGATTTGAACTCAGACCTGGACCAAGCAAACCTAATAGACATTTACAGAATTCTCCACCCCAAATCCACAGAATATACATTTTTCCCAGCAGCACATCACACCTACTCTAAAACTGACCACATAATTGGAAGTAAATCACTCCTCAGCAAATGCAAAAGAATGGAAACCATAACAAACAATCTCTCAGACCACAGTGTAATCAAGTTAGAACTCAGAATTCAGAAACTAACTCAGAACTGCACAATTTCATAGAAACTGAACAACTGGCTCTTGAATGTTGACTGCATAAACAATGAAATGAATGCAGAAATAAAGATGTTCTTCAAAACCAATGAGAACGAAGACACAATATACCAGAATCTCTGGGACACATTTAAAGCAGTCTCTAGAGGAAAATATATAGCAATAAATGCCCACAGGAGAAGCGAGGAAGGATCTAAAATCGACACCCTATCATCAAAATTGAAAGAGCTAGAGGAGCAAGATCAAAAAAAAAACTCAAAATCTAGCAGAAGACAAGAAATAACTAAGATCAGGGCAGAACTGAAGGAGACAGAGACACAAAAAACCTTTCAAAAAATCAACTGGTTTTTTGAAAAGATCAACAAAAGAGACAGACCACTGGCCAGATTAATAAAAAAGAAGAGAGAATAATCAAATAGATACAATAAAAAACGATAAAGGGGATATCACCACAGATTCCACAGAAATACAAACCACCAACAGAGATTACTACAAACAACTCTATGCACATAAACCAGTAAACCTGGAAGAAATAGTAAATTCCTGGACACTTGCATCCACCCAAGCCTAAACCAGGAGGCAAGTCAAAACCCTGAATAGACCAATAATTAGGGCTGTTGAGGCGGCAATTAATAGCCTA